AAGTTGGGATATCTCTAGTAGTTTATTACACCACCTTGTTAGTTGGCACAAGAATCACTAGTATGTAGTCATATTTATAATTCGGACTACAGAACATTTAATATATACCATACAGCTCAGACAAAATGACAAAATAACTGGGTGACATGTTGTATGACAAATCACATGGGCTTGTCACATTTGCATCTGCTCTTCTCAGGAAGCAACAGAGACCACATCATGTATAGTCCTTTTCGTCACCAGTTACTCAGCACCCCTATATATCTCCCAAGTGGTCGAAGATCCCACACCCATTAACATTTGCAAATCCCTAACACCATCCTTTCAAATAGACTTGAGCAGATAGAGTCATCTATTCCAACATCTTTTCTGGCCCCACAAAAACTGCCCAGATGCTCCACCATCTCTCCCTTTATATACCACTGACAAAAACTTTGGTAAAATCAATAGGAAATGTATACATGTAATTTTGCTCTTATAGGAAAGCTAAACTGAAAATACAAGTGTAAATATAATGAGAATGACCTAAAGTGCCTCTCATTTACATTTAATAAAAATGTCTGAGGGATGAACAAAAATCATTCTAACTAATATTTAAAATTACACTGCAATATCTATTTAGAGTAAGGTAGCAATTGTATTCAACTGAGTTAAAGGCAAGACATAAATTTCCCATGGTGCCATAAGGTAAATCTACCATATCTATAGGAAGTTCACTTTCCAGCCCTGAGTTTATGAGGCTTTAAAAGCATGCAACACACATGCCCCAGCACCTCCAAATTATCTGGCTAAATTCGCATTTATGAAGGTTGTCATTAGGCGAAACTTAAAGACAAGCAGACAAGTTGACAAAATGAAAACCTGTAAAAAGGTGAAAAGAGAACAACCCCTTAGGGGAAAATGAAAGGATTTAATCTCATCTGGATAAACTTTAATCACCCGTTGTGGTCCTGCTGGTCTAGTAGGCAAACCTCCCTGCATATGGCAGATTATATGTCATGAAGCCAGTCTTCATTTGACCTCTGTGCCTGATATCATCCTCTTGCCTCGTTATTTGAAATTCTCTCCCACTTCCTCCTGCTTAGTTCTCAAGACTTTCAGTCTTCACCTCTGTCCTTACTGACCCTTCTTTGTCCTAACTTAATCGGTTAACTTATTACAGCTTACACTTACCATCTTCGACAGCAACCCTCATCCCTTCCTGTCCTCAAAAAAGTATACTACATCTTCGGGTTTTGACATATGCTACCTGTCCTGCCACATCTTCCCTGCTACCTACCAAACAGACTTCCCACCTTTGTCGGGACAGCCACTAATCCTTAAGACAAGAAGCAGAGATGCAGAGACATTGTCATATACCCTGAATAGGCTAATAAATCCCAGTCTGCAAACATAAACAACCCATCTGTCGCCCATGAGACTTAGAAGCCAAAGGGTCATGAGCAACGGTAATCCGCTGACACCAAAGTCCACATTGCAGGACAGCCTGAGTAAACTGGGGACTTGTGGTCACTTTAGAAGGGCAGCCACACTTGGAATCCTCATGGCTGGCCACAGCTCCAGGTGAAGTTTCTGCCAGCAATTCCAAGAACACATGTGGAAGTCTCAACCCAGAGCCAGTAGGATTCTGTATTAGTCAGGGCTCTCCAGAGAAATAGAATCAATAGGATATGTATACATAAAGAGAAAGGGATTTATTTTAAGGAATTGGCTCAACTGATTGTAGGAACTGGTGAGTCCAAATCCCGCAGGGCAGACTGGCAGGCTGGAAATTCCAGCAGGAGTTGATGCTGCAGTCCTTAGTCCAAAGGCAGCAGAATTTAGACTGGGAGCAGAATTCTTTCCTCTTCCACAGACCTCAGTCTTTTCTCTTAACTGATTAGATGAGGCCCACCCACATTATGGAGAGCAATCTGCTTTACTTAAAGTATACTGATTTAAATATTAGTCACGTCTTTAAAAAATATACCTTCAGAGCATTATTTATACTTGTGTTTGACTAAACCACTGGGCACCACGGCCTAGACAAGTTGACACACAAAATTAGCTACCATATGTTCCGAGAAGCCTGGACTCCACCCCGGATGCACCAAGCACCATCCCATTCTCCAGGCCACATATCTTGAGAGCTGATCCATCCTCCATGAGTACAAAGTCACCTCCCATGGCCCCATCCCAAATATTGGTGAAGGATCCCGAAGCCCCAGAGACATTCTAGCCAATCCAGATCCCAGAGGCAGGTCTCTCCTCTCCAGAGCACAATACCCTGTCTGAATGTGGAAAGTGGGGTTCTTGTTCCCTGCACCTTTGCATAGATCATAACAGAACCCCTCACTGCCCTGAACAAGAGTTGAACTGAATGATCTATCTAAGGTGACAAATCCACCTGTCACATACTTTTAGACTGTCTCTTGATCCAAACAAGTATCATTTTACTTAAAAATTGGGCATTTTCAGTATATCAAAATTTATACATATCAAGAAATATGTTCCTTTAATCGCTAAGCTTACTCTTAATTTCAGAGATAAAGACATTTCCTACTGCGTTTAATAACAGAAATTATAGCAGTGAGAAAACTCAGATATCAGATGATACATTCCAGACTGTGGAGCCGCATGACATGGGCGCCTGGGGCCACAGGGCAAGCCAGGAGGCAGAATGTGCCGAAAACAAAACACGAGGAAAAGCACGTAGAGCACTCACGTCCCTACGGTTGGCACCACTTTTAAACATGGAGGCTTCCCGAAGAGCTTGGAGGCTGAGGGAGAGTAACGTTATTCAGCAGAGTTAAAGGCAGAATATGAACAACAGCATCACTACAGGGAATTAAATTTTCCAAATACTTATTCATTCCGTAGCAAGACAATTGCAAGCAACCACAGCATCATAAAATGAGTTATGCAGATTCTGGTAGTGCTGTAGAAATTAAATTAGCTCCTCTATTCTTAGTACAAGAGATTATTCAAATGGTGATGGACAGCCACAGGCAGCACCCAGGGAGCCTTGAGTTAAACAGGGAAGTGGCCACCATTTCAGCTTCATGCTGGTCTGTTCCCTCCCCTCAGAAGGAAGCTGAGGAGCATGAACAGCTGATGTTATCTGCCTTATTGTCATCATTGCTAACCAACATCAAGCATCAAGGGTACACTAAGCACTTCGCAGAGATTAAAGCTGCCCAGAGAGCCCTCGGCCTAATTTCAGCTCCAACATGTCAACAAATATCAATCACCAAAAGTCTTTAGCAAGAGGGTGCCATCTTGCCTCATCAGACAAAGAATTGCCTGATTACACAACAGGAAAAAGAAGCGGCCAGAAAAGAACTTGAAAGAGGAAAGCAGATTTTAGGAAATGTGTCACTTCTTTCCTTCACTTATTGACCTCTTTTTAGGACTTCTGCAATAAAGGGATAATTATTTACAGAAATGATTCACGGCATTCTAGAGAAAAGACCTGAAAAGCATTAAAGATCTCTTGTTGAATAGAGAAGGTTTTGCTTTCTGAGGAATGAAAGAGTTGTAGTTAGAGTTACTGGTAAAATCAAAAACTAACAACAGTCCTGTTACCACATCTTGAACTTAACATACAAAGGAAATTTCCTTATAACAAACAGGAAATCTGCATCCTGTTTTATAATAGGTCATTTTAGCCTGCGTCAAATTCCCGGTACACTGGCCATGTGACTTTGAACAACTCATTTAACTTTTGCGTCTCAGTCTCCTCAATTGTAAAATGAAGAATGAAAGTAACCTGAAAGGGTTGTCATAAGGATTAAGGGAAATAACACATGTAAAACTGCCTAGCACCGTACCTGGCACATAGCAGGCGCTCAATAAATAACTATAATTATAATGTGAGAGTACTTTGCAAACTGTCAATTATAACACAAAAGCAGGTTACCATATGTGACATGAATGGTTACAGAATCAGCTTATAATTGTTTCCAAATAACGTGTTTCCTTTCTGTAAACAGATCCACATGACAAAACATGTCATGTGATGGCCAGTTTCCTGTCTGGCTAAAAAGGGCTGAAGGAACAGGGAGGTGCCCTCCAGAGCTGGTGAGGAAGGGCAAGCGAGAAGTGCAGATTCTAATCTCCCTCTGCTATTTTAGTTGAGCTGAAAAGCTTTACCCCCTAGAAAGTCATTTTGCTGCTGGTACAGCCACCATTTCCATCTTGCAATGCATATGTTTAAAAAATTGAAAGTGAAATGACAGAAAGGATAACTCCTGGCAGCATTAGATATTTGGGAGCCGACCATGAAACCGCAAGAACGATGTACTCCCCAACCCTCACCCTTCTTTCCCCTTTCTCTCCTCTACTCACACCCTCATGTAGTCTCCACACAGAGTTTCCATTGCTTCTCAGAAAGGCAGCCTACTGTGATGCTGACGTGTAGGCCCGTGGTCAGACTACATGGATGCAAATGCTGTGCGACTTTGAGAAAGTTACTCTCTATACCTGTTTTCTCATCTGTTAAATGCAGAAAATGGAAATGCTTACATCAAAGGTCTGTTGTGGAAATTGAGTGTGATAATCTATGTTTAAAAACATAGGTGATCAGTAAACATTAGCTATTAGAATCACCATCATCATCATTACCGTCTTCGTCATCATCTGTGTCATTATTACACACATTCCTCATTCCTCTAAGATCATCCACCCGCAAGTGTTAGAGGTCATCGCCCTCTCTGTGAAACTGCCAGATCCTCTTCTATGGCAATCAGTAACACTAAGTGACAGGAAAATATGAGGACAAACCCAGATGGGTCACAAAGGCACTCTGCCAGAGGCCTGGGTTAGAATAGTTCACTGGCATGACAGCGGCCTAGCACTGTAGCGGTGAGTGGGGAATGAAAGGTGATATCCTCGAAGTCCTTAATATTTAACATTTAGCACAAAAGAACATTCTTTAGAAATGACTCATTTAGAAATGACTTCAGGTCCAACTGCCTAGTTTCACAGATGATGAAAATAGGGCCCAGCAGAAAATAACTTACCCAGTGAGTTCCCATCAGAGACAGAAGCCAATCTCCTAGTGTCTAGTCCAGGTCTCTGCCACAACACCCTGGCTCACTGACAAGTTGTGCAAACTCTGATTCAGACTGAGAAGCAAAGGCAGGACCAGCACTGGATCTCCCTCGCTGGGGACTATCCCAGCTGCCACTGTCAGGAAGCAACATTCTTCCCTTCCCCTCCTCATTTCCTTCTTGGTCAGTTCCTCTTCCCCTCCTAAGTCCCAGCCAGCCTTGCAAGCACATGCAGCACTAACATGCGTGAGCAATAAAATTCAGATGCCCAGGGTCAAAGCCCTTCTCCTGCCCGTCTCCTCTCCCTTACTCACCCACGGCTCCTCTCGGTTTTGGTCCTTTCCATCTAGGCCCTTTGATCACTAGCCCTATAGACTCTCCATGTAGCCCTTATTTCCCAGGGCATCTTCTCTTCTACCCTTTCACCTTTGCTCTCACCCTCTGCATGAAATGTCTTTCTTCCCCCCACCCCATCCCTATCACCTGGCTATACCTCCATCCTCTTGTAAATCTCAATTCCAGCATCTCCTGCTCAGCATCTTCCTGAATCGCTCCCACCCACTGCTCAGATGGGATTCCAGTGCCTCCCTTCCTGATTCCCAAATGTGTGTTTCTATCCTTGCATCCTTACGCTTAACACACTTTTCACATTTCTCTTTCCACAGTACCTAGAGCTCTCCGAGGCCAGTGACCATCCCTGGGACGTAGTGCAGTGCCTGGCCCTATACTAGATTCCCAATAAATATTTGTTCGAATGAATGTAACACAAGTAAAAATATCCCAACTATTCCGTTTAGGTAAAACTGTCATTGTTTCCATGTCGATGACTTAAAATCCTTTCACAAGTTCCTTAGCTGATGAAACAAGCAGCTCTTCTATTTTCTGTTCTCCTGATTCTGATATCCAAACCTCCTTCCCCCTCTCTTCTTTCTCTTTCTTCCAAAATCTACAATTTCAAAATTAACCTCTCAACTCAAAGGGTTAAAAGAGACTTGAGATCACAGGGGTTGCGTGAATTGCCGAATTATTGCCTAAATAGAAGTACATTTCTTGCCGTGATAAACACATCGAACTTATGGCACAGAGACCTCACTGCGTACAACACACGCACTGCCCCTGAATGAAGGCGCACTGGAAAACCTCACCTCCACACTCAGGATCCCTCACTCAGCTGGACGCTTTGTGCTGCCCAAGAAGCACATTCGGTTCCCCTGCTGCATTTCTTCTTCTAGTTTTCTCACTTTCTCCTTTCTTCTCAAACATCCTTCTCCCCTTACTCATTCTCACCCTCAGCTGCTGTGACCTCACTTACTCTTTCACTGGAAAACAGAATCTATCCAAAGAGAATTCCCATGAGCTCGCACCTCCACACTCATGTCCCATTCATTTACATCTGCACCCTTAGTCTCTCCTGCTCTCCAGCAAAAGGCTAACTCTTCCACCTGGGCCTCTGTCTCAGAACTTTCTGCCTCCTCTAGAACATTTCCTCCGCCATTCTCTCCTTTTTGTGGCATCAAATTTTCATTCTTATACTAGATATTTCCATCAGAATCACTATGTTCTTTGCCTCCCATCTTAAAAAAAGATAAAAAAAAAAAAATCCTCTCCCCAGTTACTTCTATGTTTTGTCCTTCCCTTTATAACAAGGTTCTCCAGGAGCTGTCATGAACAGTGTTTTTAACTGAACTCTTCTGTTATGTCTTGCATCCACTCCAGTCATATTTTTTACCCTCAAAACTCCACCGGGGACCCCAATGTCCTCTATGTTGATAAAGCTATGGTCCAGTCTCTATCTTTGTCTCCTTGACATTAGAGCATCTTTTGAAACAGGTGATAGCTAACTTCCTCTAATGCCTCCCCAACTGGCGCTGTGGACACTTCACTCTCCCAGATTTTCTTGGACCTGTCTAGACACTCCTTCCTGATCTTCTTTTCTGCTTTGTCTCCATCTCTGAAATCTCTAAATGTTGGAGTAACCCAGTTCAGCTTGAATTCTCTTTTCTATCCATATTCACTCCGTTGGTAATTTCATCTAGATGTATAGCTTGAAATACCTTTTCTTTTTTTATGCCGATGACTTCCAAAAATGTCAAGTAGGCATCTTAAACTTATCCTGTCTAAAACTGAACTCTCAATATATATGCCCCCAGATTAGCTCCTTTACTAGTTAACTGCAACTCAATTCTTTTGGTTGCTCAAGACAAAACTCTTGAAGTAATCTCTAACTCCTTTTTCTGTTATATCCCACATCAGCTCTGTCAGCAAATTCTGTGGACTCTACATATTTTTTGCCTTCATCAGCATCTTCTATTATTATTAAAGGGTGAGAAGCCTCACACAACTACAGAAGTTCAGAAGGAGCAGCAAATACTATCAAGAACACCAAAGAAGCCAGAAGACCACCGGAAAGAGCCACAACTCCACCTGACCCTCAGAGCCCCCCTCATTCCCTGCTTTCCCTGATGCTTCTGCCCTACCCCACATCAAATAATAATAACATTTAAGTTTTTGTTTTGCAATAATTACATAGTTACAGGAAGTTGCAAAGATACTACAGAGATCCCATATGTCCTTCATTTAGTGCCCACTGACGTTACAGCTCACATAAATACAGCACCGAAACCAAAACATTGACATTGGTGTGTGTGTGTATATTTACGTGTCATTTAATCATACCCATAGATTCCTGTAACCACCAGTTCTGTAATCAGATAACAGAACTGTGCCATCACCACAAAGAACTTCCTTGTGCCACCACTTTATAATCATGTTGATCTTCCATCCCGAACCCCTGCCAACCACTAATCTGTTTCTCATCTCTTTAATTTTGTCATTTTGATAACGTCATATAAATGGAGCCATATGTAGTAGTCCCCCTTTATCTACAGGGACTATGTTCCAAGACTCCCAGTGGAACTGTGAATAGTGTGGAACCCTTTATATACTATATACTGTTTCTTTCTATACATACATACCTATGATAAAGCTTAATTTATAAATCAGGCACAGTAAGAGATTAACAACAACTATAAATAAAATTTAAAAATTATAACAATATACTGTAATAAAAGTTATATGAATGTAGTCTCTCTCTCTCTCTCTCTCTGTTAATCAGTTTGATAATCAAGATGGCTACTGAGTGACTAAGGGATAGGTAGTGTGTACAGTTTTCTCTCTCTCTCTCTCTCTCTCTCTGATAATCAATTTGATAATTAAGATGGTTACTGAGTGACTAAGGGATAGGTAGTGTGTACAGTGTGAATGCACCAAAGAGATAAATCTCATCCTGGGCAGAATGGAGCTGGATGGCACAAGATTTCATCACCCTACTCAGAATGGCATGCAATTTAAAACTTATGAATTGTTTATTTCTGGAATTTTTATTTACTATTTTTGGACCATAGGTGACAGCAGGTAACTGAAACTGTGGAAAGTGACATCACAGATAAGGGGGGACTACTGTAGTATGTAATCTTTTGAGACTGGCTTTCTTTCACTCAACATAATACCCTTGAGGTCCATAGAAGGTTATCACATATATCAATAATTTGTTCTTTTTCATTGTTGAGTAGTAAATATTCCATGGTATGAATATTCCACAGTTGTTTAATCATTCAACTATTGGATGGCATTTTGGTTGTTATCAGTTTTTAACTGTTACTGTATAAATAATCCTGTACCGGTTTCTGTGTAGACATAAGTGTTTATTTCTCTGAGATAACTGCCCAGAAGTGCAATTTCTAGGTCATAGGGTTAAGTGTATGCTTAGGGTTTTTTGTTTGTTTTTTGTTTTAGGTTTGTTTTAGGAACCGCCAAACTACTTTCCAGAGCAGCTCTGCCATTTTACATTCCAGAATGTTTCCAGGATCCAACCGCTTCTTACCAGGCCAGCGCCCTGATCCAAGTCTCTGTCCTCATTTAACTGCTGTCTCTACTTTGACTCATGTTCTCTCCCTCCCCCTTCAGTCTACTTTCAACCTGAGTGACCGTGGCAAAGTGAAACTCTGTCTGAGACCATTCAACGGCTTCCCACGCTACACTGAGTAAAGCCAGATTCCTTATCGCAACCAATGCAACATGGCTCTCTCCTACTCTCTGACTCTATTTCCAGTTATTCTCCCATCACTCGCTGCTCATCAGCTATGGCAATGACCTCTCTGCTCTGCCCTCCACATGCCGAGAATTCTCATGTCTCCTTTGCTTTTGCTGTTCCCTCTTCCTGAAATGTCCTTCCCACACAGCTCATTCCCACACTCCTTCCGGTCTTTATCAAACACTTCTCAATGAGGGTTTCCTAGCCACCCACCTCCTTACCCACCTTCCCTGCTTTGTTTTTCTCCTTAATACATTATCACCACCTAACATGCCACATACTTATCTTCATTATTATTTCTCACCCTTCACTAGAATGCAAGCACGTTGAAAGTAGGGATTTGTGTTTATTTTGTTCACTGCCGAATCCCCAGTGTCTGGAATAATTCCTGGCACATAATAGATGCTTAATAAATATGTTTTAAGTTAATGAATGGATAAATGAGTAAACAATCATTAACTAGAAAAACACGATTGCCAGCATTTCATATTTGTTCACAATGTCTCTGTGAAGAATGCCATTTGGAGCACATTGAAAAGGAGGCCAGAACGAAGCATCAAAGCGAAGGTCCCAAGCAAATAATAACAAATATATATTTCTAAATAGTCACGTCGGTGGTATACTGGGCCACCCTGATAGAGCCCTTGCATTTCTGTGTCACTAAACAAAACTCTGGAGCTGCCCCAGTCCCGTGGTGTCACATTGGAACACACAGCGCAGGAAGCCAAACAGGAAGCTGCAAGTGCATTTCCTGATATCCTATTCTAAACACTTCACACATAATTACTCAACCAATCACCCCAAACAACACCGGGAGGTAGCTACTGTAATAAGCCCGAGATTATAAAGAGTTTTAGTAATGTGTCCAAAGACACACAGCCAATGATGAGGCCCCCGGGGCTTGATTCGGGCCTCCTGATTCTAGAGTTCGCGTTCTTCACTTTGCCTCTCCACTTTGTACTAACATCTGCTAAAATATGTTACTCCACTATCTGATTAAATGTTTAAAACTACCCCAAGAAGTAACAGAAAAAGAAACTGAAGCTTAGAGAGATGAAGTA